ACGAGGAGGCTACTTATTTGTAGTTATATAACCCTCTCTCAACTCTATAACTCCGAAACACGAACCTTGACGAACAAGGCCGCTGCGCGGAGAAACGTGTTGAGCGCGGTACTACCAGGGACGTGGGTACAATACTTATAATATTGAAGGCAATTTAGTATTTTTGAAGTTTTTCATTTGTGATTTTAGTTTGAAGATGAATAAACTTTATAGTAGATCAATAAAATTTAAAATCCTTTTTAAAAATTAAAAAAAATTTAGTATTTTAATTTTGATCAAGGTGAAGAGAAATCAAAGATTTATTATGATCTTTCTTCACTCTGATAATAATTTTGAAACTTTATTCTACTCCATTCCGTATTTTGTCGACGCAATCAATATCCTTCCTATCCCTCTCAAAAATTCCTTCAACTTACTTTTTTATACTTTACAATTTTTATTTTCTTCAACCCTTCATTTTATTCATTTATTCCATTATAAACTAAATAAATATTGTTATCAAAGGAAAAAGCAATACAAACAGCACTGAAAATCGAGTTTCTTTTTCAAACAACTATTAAACAATTATACAAGTACAGATATTTTTTACACATTTTCATTTACACGGTTTTTTCATATCTATCTACATTTTTTGTACTTGTGCTAGGATTAAGGAACTGCTTAATTTCAATATTTGTCATGATTATAATTTAATTGAACTAATTTTTGTTGAATCAGTATTAAAAATATTTTTGGACACATTAGGCCTAGTGAATAAAAAGCGTAATTGCTTATACTCAGCGTTTTTTGAGTAATTGTTCAACTTTATCGAGAACAAAAACTTTGACCGGTTTCTCTTTTTTGCGCAAAATCTTTTACTTTGAACAATTGCTCACATTTGAGAAAATACGTGAATGAGAAGACATGCAAGAAAAAGCGTGAATAAAAAAGCTATAACTCAAAAATTGCATTTAAATATTGTCCAACTTATCTAACTGTATCTAACTTATATGGGGCAAACACTGTCAAGAAACCATATTACCTTTGCAGCCCATTAAATAATATAACTGTCAGTTGGATGCCAAAAAGTAACTTTAGCCGACCAACTAGAGACACCTGCAACTGATACTATAATTAGGCAGGGCCCTAGAAGTCTGTGTATATAGAAGCCGAGGATCCGTTTTTGGCCCACTTATGGTTTTATTGCCACTGAGCCAAATCCCAGTAGCGCCAACTCGTTCATCTCCATTTAACATCCGGAGTGGACAGATCACTTTAATATTTAAAAAGCGTAAAAGCAGACAACAAATAAGCAACTACGCCAAGAACCTCTTTTGACTGTCACGGTTTTGAACTTATGCTGTACCTGCTTTCTAAAAACACCGTAAGACAACCAAAAGGCAGTCCGGAGCCAAATAAAAACAGATACTACACTTGATATTAGCCATTAGGCCGAGAAGCGATGTTAGACGATGCGATGTTAGATGTTTACACTAACACTTTGGTAAAAAGATCTGAGTATTTTTTTTTTACTGTTTTTTATTCAATTTTGAGAAAAAATATCTAACCTATTTTGAGTGAGTTTTTATGTAAAAGTGGGGTTACTTTAATCCGGACTCAAAGTATCTTCGTATCATAAGTAAAATCTGCAATTATTTAATTTATATTAACGGGATAATGTTTTTGCTTATTTGTTTTGGTGATATGATCTATTTCTTTATTATATTTATTGTTATTATTGTTTTTATTATCAATATTATTATTATTATTATTACTATTATTATTATTATCATTTTTATTATAACAATCATAATAAATTAAAGTCAACAATATATATAATATTATGTATTGTTGACTTTATTTTTTGTTTCTTTAGTTGTTGTTTGTCTGTTTTTTAATTATTTTTTATCCAAAAGAAACTAATAAACTAAAGCTAAAACAGAATCAAAACCCATGACTTTCTACCACATTTATAGCTTTAAAAGCATCTGCTTTTGTTTCTTACATCTTGGCAGTGTCTCAGTGTGGATGAATTGGATGTTAGGTTTGTTGTGAAGGATTACCTCTCTTCCCAAAACAAAAATTATCCGCAGCTTAGAAATAATTTTCCAGGACTAGAATGGAGTAAATTATTTTTAAAAAGACATTCTATGATCACTTTGCGTTTGGCACCCAATATAAAATGTTATAGGGCTTCTATTAACGAAAAAAACTCGAGCGAGTTTATTAAAACTTCACCCAAGTTGTTACAAATTTGCTAGCAAAAAATATATACAACTATGATGAAACAAACCTAGGTGTTAACCTTGACCTATGTCAAGATTATCACTTAGGTTTAGTGTAGTTACACTACATATAATACATATATTAAATGTAGTAGAGGCTGTAAATACCCTGAAAGAGTAATAAACTCATCAAAGTTTGAATCATTTAATTAAAGTATTTCAGTCATGTTTTATGACAACACTGATGGATATTCAATACCACCTTAAGTTGTATACAAATCAGAAAATATGTGGTCATTGTGGACTGGAAACGGTCCCCATGGAACTAGGTACATTTGCACAAAACATGAATGCTTCAATTCAAGGAGTTCATTCAAGGAGTGGTTTACTGTTCACCTGCTTCCTATACTGAAAAAAAGACCGGAAAAATAATTCTCATTGGGAAAAATTTGTCATCACACATCAGTCAGAATGTTTAAAACACTGTCAATAAATAACATAGCGTTTGTGCATAACCACCAAACTCATCACACTTGACACAACCTCTAGATATTGCCTATTTTAGGTCACTAAAAAGTAAGTGGAAAATTGTTTTGATTTTGTGGAAAGAATCACATGCAGGTAAAAAATCCATAACACTTCCAAAAGTACTTTCCATCACTTTTAAAAAAAGTGCTGGAACTAATAAAAGATGCTTCTAGTAAAAAGTTGATACCAGGTTTTGCTAAATGTGGAATTTTTTCTTGTAGTAAAGAACCTCTTATTAACCGCCTACCACTGCAGGATCTTCTGTTAATTTAAAGTCTTCTTTCTAAAGCATTTGTCTACCATTTGAATGACAATCGTGCAGACCTAAAACCTTCAATATTAAAGCGTAAAAAAAAGACAACAACCGTTTCACCTGGAAAAGGAATCTATCCTCATTCAGAAAAGTAAGATGTTATACCAGTCAAAAATGCCCTAAAAAGCGCCCCAGAAACGAAAAAAAGTTCTGATATCTCTTGTGCAACATCAGAGAATATTAATAATTAAATCTGACTGAAACAATTGTTTTTAAACATTAAATGTTTATATAGAGAAGTTCCTAGCTAATAATTTAGTTATTGTTTTATTATTAAAGAACAAGAAGAATATTTAATACAATATAAAAAGTTTTTTGTATTATTTCCATTTTTATTTTACTTTATATTAATCAAAGGATTTTTATTTTAACAATTTGGAGGTATTTCCTTTTATTTTAACAATATGGAGGTAATTATAAGTAAGTATTTGTTTTAAAATTATAGAGGTATTTACTTAAGCAATTTGAAAGTAAGTCAAATAAAACAGCCCAAGTATACATGGCTTAAAGAAAAACCAAACCAGAGTAACAATAGACCACTTTTTGAAAAACTAAAAAGTATATTTGTTTTTAATCTATTTTATTAAAAAATTAGGTAGATTTAAAGGTTGCTATCTTTATCAATATTTTGAATAAAAAAAAAAAGAAAAAATATTTTGAATAGAGCAAAATTGATCGTTAAAACCAAAAATCGCAAAAAGTGGATTAACCCCATGTTACGATATGTATATTATATCATTATATAAAGGTTTTTAAAATGAACAGATAGGAAAACTTAAAAAAAAAGAAAAATCTTCAAAACTAAGTATAAAAAGCTTCCAAAAAGAGTTACTAGGCTGGGTGAATAAAAAAAAAGCGATGCTGTGAGTAAAAGTAAAAGACTTTTCCTTTTTCACAGCAATTGTTTTTTTATTATTCATCCAGCCTAGTAACTCTTTTTGAAAGCTTTTTATATTTAGTTTTGAAGACTTTTCTTTTTTTTAAGTTTTCGTATTTGTTCATTTTAAAAACCTTTATATACTAAATTATTTTTTAAAAACCCTTCAGTTTAAATAATATATATGAAACTATGAAACAATTAAAATGGTATAACATTCAAAATACAGAAGAGCTTTTGTTGTTGTATGTGTAGAGCTTTTTTTTTTTAATTTTGTTTTGTTGTATGTGTAGAGCTTTTGATGTTGTATATGTAGAGCTCAACTAAACGTTTCTAACCAAATGCAAAAATATCTTAGATAAAAAATACATCAGCCGTGGCGCATTGGTTAGAGTACTGAAAGCACCAAGTTTCAAACCCTGCTCTGGTCAGATAAGTGATGTTGATAAGAAAGGAGGGAGTAAACTTCATAATAAAACTCTTTTCCGCAATGCTCCATGATAAGACTGTTAAGAATTCTTGGGGCACCTTAATAATCACAAAAAAACTCATTTTCTTTAAATGGTGCAAAGTAAACTGATACGTCTGGCAACCGTCAGCCGAACGAAGTCGAGTACTAGTCTTAGCAGATTCTTTTGATACTAAAGTATTATTTTACTGATACACTTACAGATAGACTTTAAAATTAGCCATTTTTTTTTTACTTTTGAAACATTTTTATATCGACGCGATTGCGTAAATGAAATTACCAGGCCTAAGACTCAGCATTCAATACTTAACATTTTTAACTCAAGATTTTTCAAGAAAAGGTTAAGCCTTAACTTGAATGCACTTAAGATCAAAATCAAATTTCTAAGGACAACAAAGCTAAAAACGTAAATTTAAAATTATTTTTCTAAAAAAAGAATTGTCTGGTGATATTTTTTATTCAAAAAAAATAATTTTGTATAAATGATAATAAGTGCGTATCAAAATAAAATAAGACAAACCATGTGTCACGTGTGGTGTGTCACGTGCTGCGTGAAAAATAAAATAAGATAGGAAACGTAATAGTTTAAGTGTTTAAAAACAAAAAATGTTTTATTTATACACATCTTGTTGCAAAATAAAAGAAGGCAATATATAGAGGTAACGTACTTAATTAAAGTGTTTAAAAGCAAATTATTTAATCTATACACACTTTGTATTAAATTTTGTGTAAATTAAATTTTCTTAGTGATATAAAAAGTAATAAAAATGTATAAAAAATTTAATGTTCATAAATTATAAATAAAACACAGTCATTTAATGGTATTACAACAACATAAAGTTTCTGGACAATTGGGGTTGCCAGGGCAATTTAATGAACACCAAAAATTCATTCCAGGAGTATTTTTAAAAGGACCAAACGGATTGCTTAAACAATTTATTCTTTTGTCAGCAGGCGGCATTTCACACATTTCGATAAATGTTGAACTTGTCGTTGTTGTTGCTTGTTTTGGGGTAGTTGAAACATCTTTTTTTGTTGTTGACTTTAATGTTGTCCTTAATTTAAACTTTGTTGTTGCTATTGTACTTGCTTTAGCTGTTGTTGTTATATTGCTTTCATCATTACAGTTACACATGCAGGTTGGACAATCTGTCTGCCCGCAATAATTCGGGCAGTTATATTCATTACTGCACCATACTTCATAAGCAACTCTTTGTTCTATCCAAGGATTTAGAATGTTGGTATTGAACCTACATTTACCTTTTTTAGATATTGCTGTAGAAGGTAACGAAGAAGATAGTAAAGGAGTGCAGTTTTCACCAAAACTACTTTTACACTTTGTTTGGTTAATTAGTATTTCATTTTCGACTGCCTTTTTTGCTGCTTTGAGTAAAGGATAAGTAGTGTTGTTACATAAACCGTTAAAATCATCCAAGTCTAATGCCCAAAACATAAATCCACCAAGTAGTTTTTTTTTAACAATATTAACAACTTTATAAGTTATACTTTCTTCGTCATCGTATCCAATAAAATCTATACCATCAGATGCATACGGTGCATTTACCAAGCTGTCTAAAGTACATATTTTACTACTCCATTTTTTTTTACATATCTCATAATATGAAAGAAACCCACTTTCAAGGGTAAATTGACCAGGTGCACCTCCACCATTACCCGAAGCTCCAAGATTCCAATTACACGAGTTTGTTAATCTCCATGTTCTTCCGTAAGATGCAAGTCCAAGTATAAGTTTTGAAGGAGGAGCACCGTTTGTGATCCAATAGTTAACGGAGTTATAAACACTTAAGGGAGTTGATTTTAATCCGCTATCGGTATGGTGTCCTACTGTGGATTCCCATGAGCCATGAAGATCATAAGTCATTAAATTGATAAAATCAAGATAACTTGAAATTTCAGCAATTTCATAAGAAATACTTGCACTACTTTGACCAGCAGCCACAGATGCCGTAATTAATAAACCATAACTATTAAACGCAGCGTTTATTTCTTTACACAACAACGTAAAAAGTTGTTTATCCTCAGGCGGCGAGCCTCGTTGCCCAGGATACTCCCAATCAATATCGAGTCCATCAAACCCTGAAAACAGACAAGTTTTATCAAAAGTATAATAACAAACTTCGTATAATTATTATATTAACAAAGCAAATAAAATTGTAATTAATATGATACGCCCTTGCAAAACAACCCTGCGAACTCCAGAAAAAGTTTTCTAGAAACTTAAGATTTGTGAGAAATTCACGAAATTTACAAGGTCTTAAGCAAGTTTACTGAAAATGACAGACTTCTTAAGAGTTTTACTTGAACTCCAACGAAAGATTTTAATGGGTATTCAGTGACCTAAAACTTTACTATAGGTTTCCTGTGTTTCTTGGAAAATAGTTCGCTGTTTATCCAGTGATGAAATATTCTGATGGAGTTTGTCTGTCTTAAAATGATATTTCTAATATTTGTATAAATTAAAGAAAACTTTGTTTTTTGTGTCGGTAATGTTGGTTTCAGGTTTTATTTTTTTAAATTCTAATTAAGCTTCAATATATATATATATATATATATATATATATATATATATATATATATATATATATATATATATATATATATATATATATATATATATATATATAAACATTTGTATTTTATTGTGCAATTAATGAGCCTTATAAGTTTTATATATTTTTAATATTCTATAACATTAATAATATCAAAAACTAAATAGTAAATATAGAAATAAAGTATTCCAAAAACAATTTGTTGAAGAGTGTCAAAGTTGGTCGTGCTTAACTAAAGTATTATAGCACTTCTTATGATAATGTTTATATTGACAATGTCTTTATGAATCAATTGGCTGGCCTAGATGAACCAAATAAACGAAGCAATACTGAGAAAATAAGGTTTAGTGAATTAACCTCTTTATCCTGGTTCAAGAAACAATGTTTCAATTTATCTTAAACTTAAATTTGTCTTACGAAGTCTAGAGGCATTACTTTTTAATATTTACTCTTTTGTCTGCATAAATATTTTTTCGTTCTGTGCAGTTGGGCAACTACTCCCTTCTTTATTGCAGTGTACAACACTGGTTGTTTTAGCAACAATCAGCTCCAATGAATTCCACAATTTGTACACTTTGTGAAGATTTGAAATGCCTACAGCAATATTTTAGCTTTATCTTTTTTTAACACAATGCGTCTAAATTCATTCCGTACTCTTGTTCTAAAGTACCGCAATTGATATTCAATTTTCTTGAACAACGTTCAAGAAAATTGAATATCAACGTGCTTGACGTCAAAATGTGAAAAACCATTGTTCCATGTAAAATTCTCAATTATTTCAGTCTTAAATTGCAGCCTTTCTGAATGTTGACTTGCAAATTATTTCTTGACTTAAAGCTAAAATATAAAAACTGATAAATTCAGATCCTCTAAGTGAAAAGTTCATACAAGGGATCGTGTTGTTCTTTCTTTATACAACACTATGACAAGCTTTGTTGGTATTACTTGATCAGAAACGTATTGAGAATCCCATTTATTTTCTCATAGTATTGTAGTTTCCAAAAAAACTTTCGTTTGGCGCTATTTTCTGTATTTAATTTATGTTCTAAAAAATTGGTATTATCCGGTAACTTGAAGCTGGAACGACATTCTGCATTTTTCTTCTAGTAGTGATTCTAATAAAGGCACAACTCCTTTTTTTATGCGTTACTGCTGAAATCAACCAAACTTTTGGTCTAGGCACCTTTATTCTTTCGCACAGTTGTATCGCTTGTGGAACATATATACTATTTTAAGCACAACAGAAAATCATTTTATTGACAAAAATGCTTTTATATAAGCAGTTACTGTAGTTACACAGATATTAGCTTTCAATTGTTATTAAAAGTTCTAGATTGGTCTAAAAAAAATAGGAGTTGCGTTACTAAACGAATTACCGAAGCTAATTTTAATGAATTTACTTTTTATTTTCTTCTAAAAAAAATTTTATTTTGTATACAGTTGTGATACTGAGGAATTTTAGTTAAAACTACCATAAATTAAGCTTACCTTAACTTTGTGTTTATAACTAAATATCTTTAAATAAACATTATGTATACAATACGTTATTGAATTTTTATTTTTCTATCCTTAGTTTGTATTAATTTGACGGCTTTTGGAACTCATTAATGGGTATGTAAAAACATAGAATTAAACTTTGGTAGCTCCTAAAAGTATTATCAAAAGTAATTTTAAAAATTAATAGATTAATAGATTTAATAGAACATTTTAAAAGAAAATTTTAATAGAACATTTTAAAACTATTCTACTGCTTGTAATGTTTTCGTCTGTTTAAAACTTTATTATAGTAAAAACTATTATATATTATTATAGTAAAAACTATTGAATATTTAATGTAATCAAAAAGATTGTATTTATACAGAAATTGTAATTTTTTATTTATACCTGATGATGTTAAGTTTAAAAACCTTCATTGAGTAGTCCATAACAAAACTCGGGTTCGTGTTTAAATGATATCGAGTATTCAATTTAATTTTATCAAACTGTTATTTTTTAATAATAAAGTTATTATTATAAAACAAATAACTACCGATGAAACTGTTTCTAACAAAATAATGATTGTTAAAAAAATGTTTTAGATTATTTAAGCTGACATTTTGCATAAAATAATACTTAAAATAATAAAATACTTGGAATGTTAAGCAGGACTTTCACCTATATGGATAGCAAACTTCTCAAAACATTGTTTACAGCGTTTGTGAGACCTCATTTGGAATTCGCAATACCGGCGTGGAACCCTTACCAAAAAAATGACATAATTCTAATTGAACAAGTACAACACCGAGCAACTCGTTTGATTCCATCACTTAGAAAATTCAATTACAAAAAAAGATTAAAAATTATGGGTATTCAATCTCTTGTTGACCGTAGAGTTCGAGGTGACCTAATACAATGTTTTAAAATAATAAATGGCTTCGATATTGTAAATTGGTGTAACGTAAATTCGCTCTCTTATCCAAGAAATTTTAATCAAAGTCGAACGCGAGGTCATAACTTTAAGCTAGTTAGAGAGTTAGTTAAAAACAATGAACAGCGTCATCAGTTTTTTACAAATCGTGTGGTGAACACTTGGAATAAATTGCCTAAAAACATAATCAATGCCACAAGTGTAAATAGTTTTAAAGCAAGATTGGATAAATTTTTTGAATCAGAAAACCTTGAAAGATGATTAACGATGAAAATGGCTTTATTCCCATTTAATTAACTTAATTCAAAATAATTTGTAAATTTTTACGTAGGCCGCCACAACCAGAATTGGTTACACAAGCTATAGCTTGTTGCGGTACAATAAATAATAATAATAATAAAATATAATAAGAATTCTTATAAACTTTAAAAGTTGCTTATTATAAAAAAAAAACAGTACTTCTGCCTTTTTACTTTTATAACCTTCTTGCTATCAAGGCCAACGGTGTCGTTTTTAGCGTTAGAAATACTTAATTTCCAGACATTGTGCAAACTCCAAACATTTATATTTTTATACTTATGTCAAGTAAAGATGCTTTTGCGATGATTAGAGCCTGGGAAAAAATTTATTACTTGTACCCCCCCCCCCTGCTCTAAACGTAAGAGCAACCAGTTGATAAAATATTTTATGTGCTATTCTTAACTAGAATTATATTAATCGATAAATTTTAAGTTTCATAGTATAATCTCTCAGCGTTCAAAAACAATGTTCATATGAAATTTGTAACCCCCTCAAATTGAGGGGGTTAAAACTTTATATTGTCATAATTTTTAAAAGCTAAAATATTTTACTATGAAATTTAAAAATTATTAATTAACATTAGTCTAGTTAAGAAAAGTACAAAAATTATTTTATCAACTGGTTGCTCTCACGTTTGGGGCTCACGCCAAAAAACCGTCGGCCTTGGCTATTGTGTGCCTATAGTTATTACCAAAATGTTATAAAATTGCAAAAACAATGTAAAAACTTCTTATAAAAAAAAGTTAGATATTTTAAAGGCAAGATATACTGCTCTAAAGAAATGGTTTAATAAAGCATTGAATTTTCTAGCAGTGGCTTATGAGGTGTGGGTTATGAGATGACAGCATTGAAATTTCTAGGAGTGGCTTATAAGGTGTGGCTTAAAGAAGAATTACTTATAAAACAGTTTTATAGTTTCTATACTTAAGTTTGTATTATATTTAAAATCAACCGACATTATTTATACATTTAAAACAGTCAATCAAAGTATATTACGGTATGAAAAAAATTAAACCAAACCTTTTTGACTAAAAACTTTTTTAATCGTCGTCTTGCTGATAAATTTTTCTTTTAAAATTATTGACTCATTTATTACCAACTAACAAATGAAAACTTGCTAAAAATTGTTTTTAAATTTAATTATTTTTTTATCTAGTTTTTTACTGCTTTTGTTTATGTTTAATTTAGATTTACTTTGTTTACATGCAAAAAAACAAGCAGGTAGCTCATAGAAAACAAACGAGTAACTCTTAATAGTAACCCTTAAAAACAAGCAAGTAAACCTTAAAACGTGCAAAAAACCTAAACTTATAACTATACACTGTACAATAAAAAACATTTATGTAATATTAAAATTTGAACTTTTATCTAACCGTAGTTATTCAAATAAGAAATCACGTTTTGTATGAACAAGCTTCTATTTGTATATGTTTTCACAAGGTCGGTAAACCCAGAAGATGCGTGATTCCATCCACCAACGGAAAGTAAAGTTTTTAACTGAGGTTCTTTAATCTTTAAATTGTTAACCTAATTTAAAACAAAAAACAATAAATTTGAACATCAATTTTTAAACTAAAGAAGTTACTTTAATATTTTAAACAAAGTTTTTATGTTTTGAAGTTTTTTTTTCAAAGGTGTTATGGTAAGTTACCATTGGTAACTTCTTTAGTTTAAAAATATTGTATACAAAGGTAACCCTTTGTATATAATCAAATTTTACCTTAATATATCCATCTGACTGATCGTTCCACTCATAAGGAGCAATCCCAAAGGTATTTGTGGCCAGTAGCTCAATTTTTGCGAAGGCGTATATTATATGAGTGCATAATCCTGAGCTATAGTGTAAAGAGATATCATATTTAGCTGAACCTTGCCTGTATTGAGCCCAATTGGTATAGTAACACACTTGTTTGAAAAGAACACAGTTTCCTGTTGATATTATCAAAAAAATGCACGCAATAAAAAACATTTTATGTATTTGTGTGTTCAAATGAAACCTAATAAAAAACAAACAAATAAATATGGGTTTTGAACTCTTTTATACTAATTTTTTTACAGGGTGTAACAAATGTACGTGCATTTAGATACCTACCCAGAATGGCGGCTTATCTTTCAAATCTTTATAAAGATTTATAACAAGAATTTGAAAATATTTAAAGTCTTGGAAGACGTAAATAGCTAATTACATATTATATTTAAATTATAAAGTGACGCTTTATTACTCATTTGTTTAAAATGCTATTAAGAGAATGAAATAGCTTTATTTCTTTACATTTAATTTAACAATTAATTTCTACTAAAACCAATTCGCTACGCGTCAGCAAACATTTTGTCGGCATTTAGATAAAATTGAAACTTTCAAATTTCCTTTGTTATTTCTCTCTGTTATGTTTTTTTGCCATAACCTTGTGATTTGTTTTTTTTAAAGCAATTTTTCAAAAGATTAAGGGAAAATGTTTGGTATGAATGTCAGAATACAGAGTAAAAAAAAAGTTCCCGTTATATTTTTAAAGAACATAGCAAGAGCATTCTTTTTATATAACAGTTCTTTGCTTTTATGTTTAATACTTAACATGTATTTTTATGTTTATTACTTAACATGTGATTTTTCATAACAGCAACATAAGGCCAATTACCCGTTATGTAAGAGAAAAACTTCCGTTACATAGCATGTATTATATCTATAATTTAAACGTTATATTTAAAAACCTGGTGTAGCACCCGTGATGCGTCCTTATATATAATAATTTATTTAAAAGCCTGTTTTTAAAGCACATAATAAACATGTAATTCTTTTTCTCATTTCTCATTTCACGTGTGGTGATCATGGGCTCAACATCCTTCTTTCATCTCGTCTGCATTTTACATAACTTTCAATTTTTTATTAACGATTTAAGTTTTTTGATCAATAAGTATTAATATAAGTCCATATAATTGGTTTGCCCTAAAATGTTTATGAATACATAACTATTACTAACTATAAAAAAAAAAATTTAAACTTTAGTTTTTGACAAAAATTGACTTGCACAAACGTGGTTTATATCAATTTTTTATATTTTACAAAAGCTTAATATCAAATAGATAAACTAATAAACATTTTATTCACTTTCATAAACTAAACTTTCATAAACAATTCATCAGTTGTTTTTTTAGAAATAAGTAATTTCTGGAGTTGCATTAAATTTTCAGCTATGCAACTCTAACGCAACATCTTTTCGAACTTAAGAGTTGAAATGTTTAAAATGGGATAAAAATCGATTCCTACTGCATTAAGCCAGAGGTTTATGTAATTTTTTTTTTGAAACACACATAATGAAATAAGTTTTATTATGTCTATTAAATAGACAGTATAGCAAGTGATGACATTTAAAAAAAAAAAAATCATTCTAGATGAAATCAAAAGTTTTATATTTTTTTGATTTTAGTATTATTTAATAAAAAAGAATGAAGAAGAAAATTAATGTTAATAATACATAATATTTTTTAACTTTTTGAAATTAAGCCATTGTTAAAGTTAATTGAGCTATTGTTTGACTATTAATTTTTTTTACCAAAAACATTATCAAGAAAAAACGTTCTTATCAAAATATCTTGTATTAGTTGTGTTTTTTTTTTTTTTTTTTTTTTTTTTCCTGCAATCGATTTAGATAAAATAGGATTTTTTTCAAATAAATGTCCTGCTATTTCATCATTAATATATGAAACAGAAAAATAAGAATTAGTAAAAATAAAGAAAGTTTTTTCACCTTTAAATATGAAACTTATCAAACTTTGTAAAGATATATAAACTTTTTGAATAAGAAATCTAAATATAACAAAATAAAAAGCTATAAAAACTTAAATAAAATTACTAAATGCTTATAAATACAGAAGCATTTGGGGAAAAGGGAGCACATTAGGACGCTTTTTGAAAAAGATACCGCAGCTTTTATTCTGTTTGAGATATGCGGAAATAGATTATATGGTGGAAAGGTTTTCACTTTTTAATTTTTTATTATTTCTAAGCATTTTTATTGTGTAAGCCAATGTACTTTTAAAGAACCCAATTACACTTGCAGCTTCTCTGCAATTACACTTGCAGCTTCTCTGAGTTTGATTGTTTTATTAAAAACATATTTTATTGCAATTTTTAAATTTTCTTTGCTTATTTTTTTTTTAGATTAGATTGTTTATTTATTTCGCCGTTTAAGTAAGATTTACAATGTTCAATAATATAAAAAAATAAAATAATTGGCTGAAGCAAGAAGAAGGCATAAATTAGCCTTATCACCAAGCCCCATTAAAAATGTTTCAAAAAATCATCATTAAAAAAAACATCATTAAAAAAAACATCAGTAAAAAAAACAAAAATAATAAATATCTGCAAGTTGTTAAGAACCAAAAATAAAACAACTATAAACTATAATTATAATATATAATGTTTATATATGTGTCCCATTTCATTTTATAGTTACGCACTATTTTTAAACTTTGTTTAGTTTCTTAATTTTAGATAATTTAATTTGCCATTAAGATTGTTAAGAGACTCGAAGTAAGCCCAAATACATCCAAATGTGCCCCATGAAATTTGTCCATAGCTGCCTTAACTCTGATATATATATTCCACAAAATTCAATTACAAGATATAAAATTTTTTGTGAAAATTTTATGTCTTGTAATTGAACTTTTTATTTATATTGTAGAACATATCCCTTTCACTAAAAATGTAAATAATAAATTATTTGGAGATGTAATTTCCTCAGTAAATCCTTACGTTTAAAAATTAAAAATCAAAAATTATAAAACGTTTGTAAAAAATTTAAATGCCATTTTGCCAAAAATCCAATCCATTCGACTAATATATGTAACTTGGTTGATAAGTTTGTATTTTTTAAAATTTTCACGTTGTTTTAAACTACATTCGTCCTAAACTGCTTCTATCTCCCGTAATTTTTTTGCTTTTCAGTAATAATTATGTTTTTACTTACTTGCTTTTTAGTAATATTTATGTTTTTTTGCTTGAACTTTCTATTAAAAAATTTATGATTTTTCAATCACATATAGAAATGTATTTTAATGTAGATTCTATTTTATACAGGAATACCTTTAAGTATATAGCACTTACTTGTTTTTAAATGTGTTTTATTATTTAAACTCTGTGTTCTAAATTTTCTTTCTTTTAGTTATTTTATCTCTTTTGGTTATTTTATGTATTTTATACTTTTAGTTCAAATTTATATTTAAAAATTAGTCTACGCGCTTGACGATAAATTGTTGTATTTTATAGAATAGTGTAAAACATTATTTCTAAATGTTTAATTAATACGGCGCAATCTACTCTAGACTTGAATGAAATCCAAAAAATTCTCAACAGTTTATGGTTACAGTAAAATTATAGAAGATAGATAAGAAAAACAAAACTATTAACTTTAAAAAAATTGAAGAAACAAACAGAGTTTTATACTAAATTAACTTTTAATGAGATCAAATTACTTTTTGAACTCCTTATTTTCATTGCTAATTTTTATACGAAAATAATATCAAGGGTTCTGGACTGATTCGGTTAGCTCTGATGGTGATAATAGCTAAAAATTTTTAGAATATCATGACTTTTTTACTTTTAAGTACTAATGGTATTCGAATGGCATGTACTAATGATAATCATTTAAACGATATGTGTATGATGTACGTTCCCGATTCCCGAGGAATGAAGTTGCACACAAGTTTTTAGAAGAAGCAGCATAAGTGCATGAAAAATGCAATCTGCCGATTAAATATAATCTGCCAATTAAGTATAACTCGTAGATTCCTATATTTGTTATAACATTTCAAAGTTTTTTGGTTTTTTCTATTATTAACAACAAAATCACATATAGCTTTAAATTACAGCGCAAAAATGCAACCACAAAGTGTAAACCTTGCTTTCCGGTAAATTTAGATTGAGTGCACTTGTGGTAACCGCTATATAGGTTAACAGGACTAAAGGTCTCGTATATTTTAATAAGAATAATAGGAAAGTGAGGAAGCATTGAAAATACAAAAACATGAAAGTATACTAGCGGTGTTATTCGGGATGATTGTGATTATGTAACGACATCATTTTGGAAGCCGATGTTCCATTTCTACGTAACAATAAATTGACATTAATTAAAAAAGCTCGTACTAAGAAAATAGTTTTCCTATTTGAATGGTTTACTAAATTATAACGGTTTTATTTTAAGATTTATAAACTATAAAGGTTTTAATTTTACGCTTTAATTTTATATATACTTGAAAATAATCTAAAATTCCTCGAAATGTTGTAAAAAAATATATTACTTTAATAAGAATTATATCCATAATATCGTAAAAAATTATATTACGTTAATAAGAGTTATATCCATAATAAATTATATTACGTTAATCATGTCTCTCTTTCTCACTCAGGGTTGTTAATATTTGGAATAACTTGCCGTCTGACGTCGTGAATGCCAAAAATATAAAGAGCTTCAAAATTAAAATTAACTCTATCGACTTTGAAAAATACTGTTCCGGCTAACTGGTTTTTGTTTTATAACTATGGTCTTATATATAATTGTAATATATATTTTAAATTAACTAGCATTTGTATTATGTGATTGTAGGGCACGTTGTCAGAGTCCTTTATATTTTATGGACCTGCGTGTCCTTTAGAACATGTATCACTGTTCTAATAAATTTTAATCTAATCTAATCTAATGTCGTAAAAAACTATATTACGTTGATAAGAGTTCCATAAAAAGAGGTTTTTATTTAATAGCTTATAAATTAACTTAAAGATGTCAACATATAATGTTTATTTGATCGTGTTGTAGAAAAAGTTTTTCTGAATATGAGAATATAAAATTTTAATATAAAAGAATCAACTTTTTTCTTTTTTTGAAAAATGGGCCACCGGGACAGTTTGTCCTGGGCGGCAGATATCCAAAGGGCGCCAAATGAAATTAAGTTACCTAAAAAAAAAGAAAAAGGTCCTTCATATATAATATAGGGAAAATTTGATAAACAAGGGCGCCAATCAGGATTGCTGTCCAAGGCGGCCCGTGACAACTCTCGGCGGCCCTGATCTTTAGCGTTATCAACTAATCATTTAAGTTAATCTAATTATAATTATAATTAACTTATAATTATAGTTATTGTATAATATTAAGTATTTTAGTCATAAACAGACACTTTTACCTATCGAGTTATACTTATTTTCATCGAAAACAACACTTTGTAAACTTACTTACCAGTTCACTTGTTGCATATTTAGATGTTGGTGTTTTTTGTCATATGAAAATAGTTTGGCGCAACAATTTTTTTAAAAAAAATGTTGCGTTAAACTATCACACAAATAATGGAGACCATCACACAAATAAGATAAATTCCCAACAATTTATGCAATAATATAACTTTTTTAACTTTTTTTCAAAAAAAAGGAAAAAAATAATGTCACTTTGATGACCTCCTTCAATTCTAGAAGACATTTCAAGCAATTCAAAAAACACATCAGTGATTTTATGAATATATCAGTAATACAGCACATTGTAACAAAATGGAGACAAAGACATTGAAACAAAATGAAGACAGAAAGGCTTGTATAAAATGAAAACTGCATGCATAAACATTAAGAAGTGAAATTGTAAACTCTAAGGTTTTTGAAGAACCATATTTTCTAAAACTAATGCTTTATATGTCATTATATAAATAGAAATATGGTACATGGCAAGTATTTCTTAATTTATAAAACTTTGGGCAAATTAACGCAATTAACCGAATGTGATTTTTATCTGCAATAAAAATTTGTTTACGCAAAGGGTATTCAGTTTTTAATTATTCAGTTATTGAACTTTGATTAAAAAATGCAATGAGTTGTTTAGCTACTTTTGATAAAATATGAAAAAATATGTCAACAGCGTACTTTGTTACCAAAATATAAAAATTTTAGGGGTGAAAAAACCTTGACAAAAAACCACTATATCAAAACCAACTAAGTTGACCAAGTAGGTTGATTGTAATATAGTTGTATTCGGAACCATTGTTAATAACGAAACAAAAACATCGATTAAAGAATTTCTTTTTTATTGATTACCTTTTTTTTTTAGCTTATTTAAAATTTATAAAATTTTTATTAATTTTTTTATTATTTATTCTCGTCATATGCCCTCTAAATATTTTTTGAATTTTAATTGCTGCAAAATGTCTAACATCACTCTCTTTAATTCGAATTGCATCCAGCTTCTTTCCTCTCTCAACCATTATAGCTTCATATTTTTCTTTAACTTCACTGATGCGATGCGTTATTTTTTCAATTTTGCTTTGTTGACGGATGTTAGCCACTTTAATTTTGTCGATTTCTTCCTTTAAAAAAAGAGTTTTTAATAGTAAACAGTTTCAAAGAGCAAATCTTTGACAAATAATTCAATTAAAGTTTACTTTTTTAAGTAACTTACTTAACAGTATTTAACTTTATTTTTTATTATTTACTATTTCTGTTACATGCTATACATAATGTACTGATAGTTTAATAAAATGTTTTATAATTTGTTTACTAATACTACGGTTACTAACTATTTATAAAATTTTTACTTTTATTATTATTGCTTTTATTGTTGTTGTTTCTGTTGTTGTCTTTGTTGTTGCTATTGTTGTTGTTGTTGTTATTGTTATTGTTGTTGTTGTTGTTGTTGTTGTTGTTGTTGTTGTTGTTGTTGTTGTTGTTGTTGTTGTTGTTGTTGTTGTTGTTGTTGTTCATCAAGTTACTATTTTAAAATTGATACTGTTCCCATTAAGTCCGACTATTTGGTTGTTTCAAGTGGTTATACTTGTTTAACTATGTTAACGAACCTCCATGGAAATCATTTCTTGATCATATTTTCCAATCCAAGTAAGTAATTCATTATGCATTTTAAATTTACGCTTTCGAAGAGACGCTTCCTTCAAAAAATTATTTAAACAACGTTTTGCAACCGAATGCTTTGTATCTAGAACCTCTGTTTGCAAACTACTAATATGATTTTCCAATGCCATTTTATGATAGTTAATATCTTTATTGCTTTTTTCAAGAACCAGTGTTTTCTTTCGTTCTGAAACATTGGTTTTTGACACTAGATTCTTACTCAGTTTATCAGCAATGATATTGAGCGCGTTTACCTTTAGAAAAAATTTATTGAAACAAGCAAAATGACTTTATTATAAAATAAATAGGTATTATAGGTACAACAAACGACTTTATATTCACCTTTAATGTGTGATTTTTTTTTTCTTCGTCCAATGAAGATTGCAATGAACAAAGGTCAATTGAAAAGTTTTTTAACTTTTCATTGGATTGAAAGTATAATTTAGTTACGTCATTAACATCTTTTGTCGTAAGAAATCTACTTTCAATTAATGCTATTAGATTTTTAAAGTAACTTAAAAATAACGACTCTTTAAAACATGTAAGATTTGATGAAGCTAACTTGATGTTACATTTGGCGGACATGCTAAGTGTTAAAAATTGTTATTATCTAATAGTTTAATAGTGAAATAAAAAAAAGTATGAAATTATTCTTATATATACGCATGATACAACTATACCTTATTATATATTTCAAGTTAATATTTATCTTTGTTGCTAAACTTTGTTCTTTGCCTTGCAATGTTTTATTGTAATCTTGAACATGACGCTTATGGCACAAGACTTGATTTTTTATTTTATTGTTCTTGATATGTGTGTAATTTTCATTTTCTATTATGGATATAAGTGCTTCTGATTCACTTATTTTTGTAAAAGAATTGCGCAAAATATGTAAAACATATTCAACCAATTCGCTTTGTGCTGGTGATTTAAAAACCATCCCAAATTTACCTTCGCATAGAATTAACGTTTTTATGATTTTGACGTCATTTTATTAAAATATTCGTTTCGTTTTTAAATGACGTCACTAATTCATATTTGTTTTTTGATTTAGCTAAAAACTTCCCTCATGTGGAAATGTCTTGCAATGATATCACGGATACTGATAATGCCAACCTAGTTGACCCATAAAGGTAGCTTATAATGAAAATCTTAAAATCTTTCAGTTTTGTCCGCAAAAAAAATAAATAAATTAAATTTAGATTAGTAAAGGTTTAAAAATATCTTCAAATGGAAAACAGCATTTATACGAAAAATATCTGAAACGTAATTGCATAAAGACCAAAGAAGAATACAAAATCTATAGGATTTTGTTTGAGAAAATTAAACGAATTGCAAAATCAAACTATAATTAAAAACAACTAGAAAGTGTCATTTAAATTCTATAAAAACATGGCCAGTTTTATACGAAATTATTGACAAACCAAAAATCAATAAATTATGTTTTCCAAAAACTTTAAATAACAAAAATATAACTATTGACAATGAAAAAAATATAGCAAATGAATTTAAGAATGTTTTTGTGAATATAAGGCCTAAACTTCCCGCAAAAACTCCCAATTTAAACAAATCGTTTTTAGAATATCTTCAAACTTAATAAAAATGAACTTAAAAATGAGGAATTAACCTCTAAAGAATTTGAAACAAATCTACTTGATGTATTAAAATTGCCTCTTTTTAAAATTTGTAAATGTTTATTGAAAGAGAGTTTTTTCTGATATACTTAAAGCAGCAAAAGTTAAACATAAATTTAAACCAGGCGGTATAACCTATATAGGTAATTATAGACCAATACTTTCTATTTTTTGAACGAATTATGTTTAACAGATTATATTCCAGATAACATGAACACGTTGGGCCTACGTCGGCACGAGGTATGCTTTTACAGCATCCAATAATAGGTTTTTACGTCGTTTCGACGTTGTTTTTGCTCATCAGAATCATGTAGGCCCGATACCGTCGGCATCGTGGGACCGAGATCAGTAAAATGACATCTGGCAGAGATCAGTAAAGAGACGTCAGACGAGATTTGTTAAATGAATATAGCCCGCTTGCTTTAGATCCATAAATGGGGTTATTAAAGACTTTTATTAGCAGCGATTGGAAAAACAGTTTGGGAAATAATATATATGAAAAAGCATGTTTTTCCCATGTCCCATGAAATGGAATTCCCATGCTAAAACATTGGTAATCAAAGCTGTTAATATTCTCCTTGTCGTATGTTTGATGTTGGTACCACTAATAACACTAAGATAACTAATCTAAATATAAAAGTTAATCAATTTACTTTAAACAAAATTTAATAAATATCAAGTACATATTTATATAGTTTTTTAAACTATGTTTAGTATAAGTAAATAATGTTTTTACCAACATTTGCTGCATAGCAGATCCAGAAGATGCTTTTCTGAGTCTAGCTTCTAAACTTTCCATTTGCTGCCATAATTCTATTGGCAAAACTACTCCATTTATCACTGTCATGATTCTATTGGCAATCACTGCCATGGTTCTATTGGCAAAATTACTCCATTTTTCAATATTTGTATTTCTCTGTTCTGGTCTATTTAAAATCTCTAGCTTTTGTACTTTTAAACAAGTTATATACCTTGTTTAAAAATAATAACTTATTTTATTCAGTTTGGTTTGCAGAAAAACACTTTAAGGGAACAAGCAATACTTTCAACGGAACATGCAATACTTTTAACGATACATGCAATACTATCAACGGAACATGCAACACTTTTTATTTATTTTTATGTTAATTCACCTCCCCAAAACCGAGAAGGCCACTACAGACGAGGAGGCTACTTAATTGTGGTTGTAACACTCTCTCAACTCTATAACTCCGAAACACGAACCTTGACAAACAAGGCCGCTGCGCTGAAAATTAAGTTGAGCGCGGTACTACCAGGGACGTGGTGGGGATCGACTTAACTGATCACGCAATACTTTACTTAATCAATTAAATAAAAAATCAGAGATCATTCACATATATAAGGAAAAGTAGAAGCCTAAGGATAGACCCCCCAAGGGTCTATCCTTAGGCTTCTACTTTTCCTTATATATGTGAATGATCTCTGGAGAGCGTCAAATATATCAACAGTTTGCTGATGACATTAACTTTTTTATCTTAGGAAAAAATATACTTCAACTTTTTGTTCAAATGAATGATGAGTTCGAAAATATTTCAATATAGTTTAAAGCAAACAAACTCTCTAATAATTCTAAATTTTTTTTTGTTTATTCCATCTTTTAAACAAAACAAAAAAATTGCTTTTTTTTTCGAAAAATAATTATTAAAAAACACAAAAATTAGTTGCGAACAAGGCCGGCGCGATAGGGGTGTGTGGGGGGTGTGACACCCCTCATCAATAATTTTTAGTCGGCAAACTGGACCCTTAGACGGCAAATTGGATCCTTTTAGACTAGTTGACCCATTCAATATAGGTTAGACAGTCGGCAAATGCAGTCATGACAGTCGGCAAATTTTGGAAAACGAGGACCTTTTTTTTTTTTTTTTTAAGTCGGCAAAATGATAATGGCACCCTCCACGTGACACCGACTCGCGCCGGCCCTGGTTGCGAAATAGTGACTAAGTTTCTTGGTGTCCTCATCAACGAAAATACTGGTCTGGTTAAACATATTGAATGTATTGTATATATGCAACAAAATATCAAAAAGTATTGAGATTCTATATCAATCTTCTTACAAGATAAACATCATCTAAAACAAATATATTTCAGTTTTATACAAAGTATACAAATTACGAAAATATTGCCTGAAGAAGTACTCATAAAAGCAATCTTGAAATACTCCATCAAAAACAGAGCCTTTAAGCATAATGAATAAGAAAGAACATAATTACAAATTACGAACATAATTACAAATTACGAAAATATTGCCTAAAGAAGTACTCATAAAAGCAATCTTGAAATACTCCATCAAAAACAGAACCTTTAAGCATAATGAATAAGAAAGAACATGCGAAACCAATTTTCCAAAGTGTGAAAATTTAAAAAGAGCTAAAAACTTGAAAATTTAATAATTTATGTCTCATATACAAAAGGACAACAATGTGTTTCAATTTTTTATGATATCCATGAAATAAAAAATATAACTTTTAATGTACTTTGCGCAACAACGAGCTTTTTGATTTGACCTTTAAGCAAAACTAACCAGAAACAATTTCAAATTACATATCGTGCTCCTCATATTTGAAATAAAATCTTAGCAAAAAACACGTAAAAAATATTAATTGCTTTTAAAAATTAATTAAAAAGAATATTTTAGACTTTAGAAATCTTATTGATGATTATATATATATATATATATATATATATATATATATATATATATATATATATATATATATATATATATATATATATATATATATATATATATATATATATATAGTGCCGGATTAACCCTTAAGAAAATAAGGTACATGTCTTAAGGCCAGCAAAAAATTTATGCATAAGTTTATATTTATGTCTTATCTTTATTGATGAAATTGTTATAACTAGCAGTAAGCAACTCGTAATACGGGTTGTTAGTAAAATTAAAAAAAAAAAACCACCTATAGAAAAGTCTAGAAACTACCTTAAAAGAGAAAAGCCTAGAAAATGACGTAAGTCGACTATTACTACTATATTAATATTATCAGATTATTCCAATTATTATACACATTTTGTTCACATATCAATTTTACGATATCAAAAATTGTAACTAATTCATTCTTATAAGTGATAATTTTTTTCTTCTAAAATATCGATTTGAAATATTTCGAATAAAATATTCGAAAAATATTGTTTTTTTATATTTTTGAAATTCGATAACATTAGTTTTAAACGGTGGAACTTTTTCGTAAACAATAACAAAGCGTAGTAATAAAATTAATGGTTTTAGCAAATGAATATACTTTTAGATATAACTATTGTTATAAAATTGTAATCCTTTAAATTTATTAGTAGGTTTAATAAAGAAAAAAGCATCACATTTATTACAGAAAGAACTGGGAATATCTTTTTTGTTCAACCTGCCATGTTTTAAATGTTTCTATCAAAACATATTTGTCACATATTTTATTTATTGTTGATATTAATATAATAAAGCTCACTAATATAATGTGGATTAGATCCATGTATCTCAACTATACTGATTGACTTTTATTTTGACTTTCACTATCATACATTATTATCTATATATATATGTATGATTTTTTATCATATATATATAAAACAATATGTTTAATCATTATTATATCACATATCCATTTTACATATTCTAATTAATATTATTTTAATTTATAAATTAGTTCTTGCTATAACATAGAAAACGTATATACAATATACATGTAGAACTTCAGTTCTGTGAGAAGTAGATCATTAATAAGTCAAACAATCAATTCCAGTGAGTAATTTGCATTAATTTTTGAACACCATGCTCCTGAATTAAGCAAAAATAAAATCCTTCACTTATAGGAATCTATATTTTTTTAATGAATTATGTTGACGCTGTCATCATTATTGTTAGATTTCTGTTGTAATTATTATTTTAATTGAACAAAATATAAATTCTGACCTTTCCAAGTTGAGTCTTTGTCTATTTATTGATGGATTACCTCTCTTTAACAGCACAGTGAAATGTTTTTGGGTTATATGTGGGTGCATTCTAGAAATCCCATCATCTGAATTCATAATTGGTGTTTATTCTGGTAGTTCAAAGCCAAATTCATCAAATGATTTTCTTCTGGTATACTGGTAGTTTGATTTTAAATTATTATTTCGAATATCAAAATCTATATTATATATAGGGTTTGTATGTTCTTATCAGCAGTTCAAAAGAAATTAATTTTTAAAATTTTACATTAATTTATGATATGACTTTAAGAATCAATTATTTTTAAATCGAATAATTATGCTATTGAATACATAAAAATACGTTTTTAAAGATCACTTTTGCGTTTTACTTTTAGATTGATATCGATACGTAAAGGTGGTTAGGAGCGAGCGAAGGAGTTAAGAAGAAAATGCATGATGAAGAAAAACTGTTAAAGAAAATTCCCAAAATCAATTCATTTTTCACTGCCATAAACAAGGTTGATGCTACTGATAATATAACTCTCATTTCCCCACCATCCTCATCAACATCTCAGGTAGGTATTGATCACAAGGAAGAGGCTGCAAAAATTCGATTTGAACTTGGACATACTGAAAAATTTGAAGACGGAGCTGATACTGGTTTAGGAACCATTCCCAATGATGTTGGGAGTTTTGGTGACATAACAGATCATACGCGTAACATGTGCATCAGCCTTGGTACAATCCATTTTCGAAACTTGGCACTCAGTTATCCAGAAACAAAGCGGAAATACAGTGGAGTGAATCGCTTCCTAAATTCTAGTGTCTTCAAACAGGTTTTGCCAAATGGTGATATCTTTGATCGTGACTGGCTTGTTTATTCTCCAGCCAAGACATGTGTCTTCTGCTTTCCCTGCATTTTGTTTTTATCTGACCGGTCACAGTTGTCTGGCTCAGGATTTAAGGATTGGAATAATATGACACAATACTTAAAATCCCATGAAACCAGTGCAAAGCACATACAATTAGTTCTCACTTTATGTCAAAGAAGTGTTGCTGATGGGAGAGTTGACGAGCAATTGCACAACAATATATTGGAGCAGCGTAATTACTGGAGAAATGTCCTGTCACGCTGTGTTGCAACTATTACTTTTCTTTGTGAGAGAGGTCTCCCTCTTCGAGGTAGCAATGAAGTTGTTGGCTCCAGAGAAAATGGGAATTATTTGGGCATCTTGTAGCTGATAGGTCAATTTGATCAATTTTTGTCCGAGCATCTGTACTCATGGTAATCGCGGACGCGGTCACACATCATATTTATCAAAAACAATCTGTGAAGAATTAATTGCAATGATGGGTGAACAAGTTATGGGTTTTATAAAGGATGAGATTTCAAAGTCACAGTATTTTTTAGTTTTAGTAGATTCCACTCCTGATATTACCCATTGTGACCAGCTGACCATCATTCTTCGTTATATTAATATAGTGGATTACCAGCCTGTGGAGCATTTTTTGACATTTATCAATATATCCAGTCACACAGGGCAGAATCTTGCTGACACACTGCTTTAGTACTTGTTAGATCATCGACTGTGTACTCGAAAGACCTTTGTTCTGATTTTCCAACAGAATTTCGACAATTTATGTGCTGGTATAAAGAACAGAGAAACTATGAAGAAGGATCAAGTGCACAGAATCAAGATGATTCAAATGCTCAGAAGATGTTTAAAATGCTGCAAAATTCTGGTGTATATCAAGCAATTCCAAATACTGAAATAGCACTCCGGATCTACTTATGTCTGATGTCAACCAATTGTTCAGGAGAACGTTCGTTTTCTCAATTGAAAAGAATTAAAGATGCAAAACGATCAACAATGGCTCAACAGCGTCTTTCTGTACTTTCGCTTCTGTGCATTGAAAGTGATTTGCTCAATAAGGTCAACTTCAAAGAACTAACTGACAAATTTGCAGTTATGAAAGCGCGAAAATTTTAAATACTGTAGTTTTTGCCTAATAAATATTCTTTTTTAAATTTTACTTTTCTTCTTTTTGTGGGAAAGTCCGTATTTTCTGTATTTTCAGGCCACTTATTAAAATGTGCCTTAGGGCCAACAAAGCCTTAATCCGACACTATATATATATATATATATATATATATATATATATATATATATATATATATATATATATATATATATATATATATATATATATATATATATATATATATATATATATATATATATATATATATATATATATATATATATATATATATATATATATATATATATATATATATATATATATACAGTGGTTTTGGAAGATTTTTAAATGTTTGAAATCCCCAACTTATAAACAACAAGAATATTCCAAATTTTTTTACGTCTATATAATGATAAAAAGGTTCTTTAAAAAAAAATTGCTGTGATAGGAGAATGGGAACAAAAAATCTTAGCTATTGTTAGGAAATCTTATGATTATTGTTTCGCTTATACCTTGAAAAATGTTGATGACAATCTTAATGAGCAGTTTTGACTGATTGTTTACTATAGGGCCCCAAAGGGGGATTCTTTGTGACTGATGAAATACTTGATATAGAAGAATTCGGTGTGATTATTGGGTTATGTTTGCACCAGTTATTATTAAGTAACATTTTAATTAAATTTTTAATTTTTTTGCAAAGCCCGGCTAAAGGATGAATCCAAAGCAAGGAGTAACAACTAATTTAAAACATTTGAATGCTTCAATAATAAACTAAATTTTGAAAACCAAGTTTGTTTGAGCAAGTTGCTGCAGAACATCTACATTTTTAAGAAACTTTCTGCATTTATTTCCCTCGAACTGGCCCCCATAATATGAGCTTAGTTAAATGTTGAGGGCTGCTAGCCACTTATCAGCTTCTATCCAAGCAGTTTTTAGGATCTGGAAAAAATAATTGGTAAAACATAAAAGGAGGAAAAAAAAAAGCAATTTTATTTTCATTTTTATAAAATAAAAATAAAATATTTGGGGTCAAGATTTTGGTACATTAACCCAAAAAATAAACTACATGCTGCAATAAACAGCTTGTGAACCTATAATGGTATGACCATGAAATTTTCACAGATTTTTAATAACAGGTGATTGCACTCACCCTGCCTAAATCTATTTTAATAAAATTATTCATAATTTTGTAAGGAAAACAGTTTGAGTCCTAAAAAAAGCTCTGAAAAAGTTTTTAATTGAGATTTTTGGAACCAGTTAACTAACATGAATTATTATTTTTTTGAAACCAATTAACTAACATGAATTATTTATTTTCAAAAAGCAACAATATTGGCTACTGCTAGCTATTCATCAGGATTTTTCTTTTATCGACATTTTTATATATGGCTAATATGGTTGTATAGAGCTAAAAAAACTTAAAAAATAAGAGGTTTTTAACTTTAGAAGTTAAGTAGATCCAAAGTTATTGCTTTTTTTGCGCTGGAAAAACTGATTTTTTTGACAAAATTAATGCTGTAATTCATCATACTTTCCTTGTTATAAATGTAGGTCGTCTCTGATTTTCTTGTTTTTGATTTGATTGTTATAACGCAATCGACGAGCTCTTATAAAGTCGACAACAGAATTAATCATAAACAGATTTACATCTTGTAATTAGTGTAATTGTTGACTATTTTTCTTGCAATTAGATAATAATTTATTTAAATCTTTGTGAAGCCGTTTATCTGTTAATGATATCGACATCAAATATATGTTATCTAGACATGTTGGAATTTTATAACGCTTTCTAAAGTTTTTTCTTACAGGATCTTCAGCGTCAATAGTAATGTTAGAATATAAGTTGTTAGAATAGAAGTTAATCCATATCAAAACTTTCTTATAGTGTTACTCTCAAATTAAAAAGTGTTATTCTCAGATTAAAAATATCAGCTTCTCTAAATTGCGAAAATCCTTGAATGATGACATCATTCGGATGAGAGCATATTTCCGCGATATTATTTAAGTAATATTCACAGATATTATTATTCAAACTCAAATTTGAGGTTATCTCGCTAATTTCTCTTGGAGCCATCTTTTCATTTTCTTATAATTTTTGTTTTAACTCAGTTAAAAAGCACGTCCTTTCACTATAAGAACCATGCAGCAAAAAGAAGTGAAAACTTCCTATCATTATCTATTGAACCATTGTATTTATGTATGTATGTATGTATGTTTTTTTTTTTTTTATTTGCATTCACTCCCAACAAGGCTGCAAGCAACCACTATTAAGTTGGGAGTTACTAGGAAAAAAAAGAACAGAGTTATAGAGCAAGGAAACGGTTGACAGAAGACTTGAAAAGTTGAAGGTTGTACGAGTCAGGAAAACATGAAGATGGGAGAGAGTTCCAAAGGATTGAAGTGCGGGGAAAAAAACTAGATAAATAAAAGTTTTTAGAGCATGCAGGGACAGATACAGTAAACGAATGAGACTTAACTGAATGACGAGTAAAACGAGAATGAATTTTAGTTGATGGAACTAGAGATGATAACTCCTTTGAGCAGTGACCATGATAGTATTTGTAGAAAAGAGAAAGAGATGCAACTTTACGACGATGGGAAAGAGGCTCAAGCTTAGCAGATAGTCCAGGTCCAACAACATTTACAATGCGTTTTTGGACCTTGTCAAGAAGAGAAAGTGAATTGTTAGAAGAACCAGCCTAAATATGACAACAGTATTCCATGCAGGGACGAATAAGAGATTTGTAGAGGTAGAGAATGGAATCAGAAGTAAGAAAATGGCGAGCACGATAAAGAGAAGCAACCTTAGCAGAAGCTAATTTAGCAATCGATTGTATATATGGTTTCCATGAAAGGTCAGTATTAAGCGACAAGAAGACGTAAAGAGGACGACTCAGTAAGAGGATTGCCATTCATTAATATAGGAATGTTGACCATATTACGGTAGTTGTTTGCAGTAAGCAACTGGGTTTTTTTTAGAGTTAAAATTCACAAGCCACTGTGAACCCCAATCTATTACTGAAGTGAGATCGGATTCAAGATCAGCTGCTTGTTCTAGGCGATCGAAAAGAGAAGACTTTTTGTCAAGACAGGAGTATAAAGTTGAGTCATCAGCAAAAAGAGCTACTTTAGATGAAAGGTTGTCAGGAAGATCGTTTATGTAGATAAGAAACAAAACAGGGCCCAGGATGGAACCTTGGGGAACCCCAGAAGTTACTGGAAATAAAGAAGAGTGTTGGCCTTCAAGGATGACTTTAATAAACCGGTTAGAAAGAAATGATTTGATAATCTCAAAAACTTTCCCAGAAACACCATATGAAGCAAGCTTATGGAGAAGACCAGCATGCCAAACTTTGTCGAAAGCTTTAGATATGTCGAGAGCAATAGCCCTAGCCTCACCGCCTCCATCTAATGCACGATAAAATCTTTCAGTTACAGCAGTTAGCAAGTCGGCCGTTGAGCGAGAGGTATGTATGTATGTATGTATGTATGTATGTATGTATGTATGTATGTATGTATGTATGTATGTATGTATGTATGTATGTATGTATGTACGTATGTATGTATGTATGTATGTATGTATGTATGTATGTATGTATGTATGTATGTATGTATGTATGTATGTATGTATGTATGTATGTATGTATGTATGTATGTATGTATGTATGTATGTATGTATGTATGTATGTATGTATGTATGTATGTATGTATCTATTTATCAATCAACTAATTAATAGAATTGAAAACAAACATAAATTGAAAACGTTCGTAAAATTTCATTACTAAAACTGAAGTTAGAATACTCATTTCGTAATCCACATAAGTTATGATTACAGCGTAGGTAATTTGTCTCGGGAGTTAAACTGTTTCGCCAACAAAGATTACTTATTTCCAAGGGGAATTTTTTTTGAAATAATATCTATTTCAAAATATATTAACTCCCTAGTTAAATTTTTACGCAGCGAGAATAAAAATTAATTTATTTAATGACACCGGCATTTTAGAAGTCTTTATAAGCTTAATGTAAACAACGTTAGCGAGCAAATCTGATTAAACGAGCATGGAATAAACAAAAAAACAAAAGAATGAGGAAGACGGATATTTTATATTTCTGCTGTTGCTATGTAGAATAAATCAATGCTCTGAAATTAAAAAATACTTTTTGGTTAAATAGAAATTCTCGGATAATTAGTTTGTGTTACAAGCATCTTGAAGTTTAATTTAAAGCTACTTATTAATTTGATGCTTTACAATT